ACAGCAGGATTCTTCATAGGCCCCTTCCTCATCATTACACTGATCTTTCAGTCACATGGAAAGGGCCCTCATCATCACTTGGAGACCTTCAGCTGACTGTATTTCTAACGCTGTGTTTTTATACTTAATATAAGGCCCCATGATTGCCCTACTGAACCATTTCTATTTTCTCTTCCAGGCTCCTGACCGTCCTGCTGCAGCAGTCCAACCTCAGTGAAATTAATCACCAGGACAATGAGGTGATTCCACTCTCTCGGCCATAAGCATTCATTTTGCATGGCAATGGTGGGGTTGTGGGGCCTCTCTCTTCCTCTGAATAGAAAGAAAGGGAGTACATTTTTGTGTTCCTACCATGAAAAGGAAACCTGTGTCTCCACTGCTTATCTATAGGCAGAAATGTATCCTCAACATGGGTGTGGGTAGCTTCTAATAGGAAGGACTGTGTTGCATTAAACCCTTAAGCATTAGTCATATGACTAAAATTTTGTAATTTCCCTCTGGACATTGAGAAATGAATATTGCCTTCTCCTGTTTTCTCAAGCCCCTGAAACTTAGATGGCAAACAATAGCTCCAGATATATCCTTTCTAAGCAAAAGAGGACAGAAAGGAAATAATTCTAGGCTAGCTCCTCCAGAGGCCACATTATTAATCCTGGTAATCACAATTGCTGTGTCCTTCATATAACAAAGGCAATATTGTGGATGCTTCTGAAAGACAATCTCCAACTCAAGCAAACTTCTTAGAGGAAAGTGAGCTCGACACTGCAGGACTGCCCAGGAGTAGCATAGGTTCTGGCTGTATCTACTCAATGCTTTTAAAAAGCAGTTCTGGTTTTCATTAGCCAGCCTGCTTGCTTTAACAAGCTTCTTAAAACCAACTTAAATACCAGGATTTTGATGGAATTTCTTTATAAGTACGTGCACGTTACCAAGAAGGTCTGGTAATAGTAGAACATTCTAATAATACTGAAATCGCATATATACAAGGTGCCATGCTATATTATCTTTGAGGAAGCCAGCTAGCCACAGCTAATTGGGTTGAGGTAAGCTCCCTAATAGCTGCCTGCTGGTGTGAGCCACCCCATCCCCCATCTGTCTTGAGCCTTTTACTTAAAGGTCTCCTTCTGATAGCGTTAGTGACCACACCAAAAAGCCCCTATTTGCAGGCTAGGTCTGAGGTTGCACGCCTCCCCAGCTCAAGTCAGATGCTGCTTTCACTCCGGTAATCTTCAGTGGTTTAAAGCCAAACCCCAGAGGACAGAGGACTGCCCTGTTTTAAACTTCTGCTTTAAAAATAAGAAGCAGCGATGAGACAGGCACTCTGATCACTCTCTGCCCATGGTGTGAAAGCAGGGTGTTTGAGTGGCTGCAGTTTATGTCAGCAGATTGCTGAGAAAGTTTCCAACCACTTCCCCCACCTCTGGTCCCTGCCCCAACTTCCTAAGTGGGTCTTATTTAGGAAGGTGGTAATTCAGTCACTCATACACTAACGCTAAATTACACTCATAGACCTCCAACTCTGTCCGCTCCCCAGATGAACCAACACCTCCCCAAAATCCATAGTTTCCTTCTTTTCTCCAGACTGAGAGGCCTCAGGTTGATAGAAACAATGAAATTAGGGGCTGGGGACTTAGCTCAGCAGCAAAGCGCCTGCCTGGCAAGCGCAAAGTCATGAGTTCGGTTCCTGGTACCGGAGAAAAACCAAAAAAAAGAAAAAAAAAAAAGAAACAATGAAATTAGACATAGATCTAAGAGTGGCAATTGCAACATTTTGCAGATAATGTGTGGCAAATACTTTAAAGCTCCTTTGTTTCTCCTCATGAAAAATAACCTCTGTGAAAAGATTCCTTTTGCTATTACACCAGTATTTGGACCCATGGAGTTTTACAAAAAGTAGTGGCCTCAAAAGGGATACTTCCTATGCAGTATCACAGTTCCACTTCGGCCTGTCACAGCAGGTCTGAAATCCACCTGAAACTAATTGCTAATGCTTGCCTGTGTTTCTCATACAAACTATATTTGCCATATATATTTAATATATAGTCATCCCTTGGTATCCATGGACAATAGGTACCGCTTGAGAGACCAAAATCTAAAGATGCTAAAGCCCCTTATATAAAGTGGCATAATATATGCATATAACCTATGCATATCCTCTCATATACTTGAAATTAACTATGAATTACTTATAACACTTAATGCGATGTAAGTGCTATGTAAATAGTTGTTATTGTTTAGGGAGCACTGACAAGAAATAGGGCTGTTCAATTTTAGTACCAACATAATTTTTCCCCTAAATATTTTTTATCTGCAACTGGTTGAATCTATAGATACAGAAACTTGTAAATATGGAAAGCCCTGTGTATGTGTGTGCGCATTTTGTCAATGGTAATGTGCCTCAGTCAGTATATATTTGCAGGGGCAAGGAGCTCTTTGACATTGAAAGATAAGGACAATTATGAAGTCTAGGGATGCAGTCAGTGGTAGAGTGCTTGCCTAACTAGGCCCAGTGTTTGATCCCTGGCACTAAAATAATAATAATGACAATTCTAAAATGGGAAGAATTCAGCCCAAAGTTTGTGCGTTACTAGAGATTGAATCCAGGGCCTTTAGGCAGAGCTACCTCCCCAACTCCTCCCCTCTTTTTTAAAAATTTTGACACAGGGTCTCACTAAGTCACTAAATTCCCCAGGCTGGGCCTCAAACTTGCAGTTCTCCTGCCTCAACCTCCCAGAGTGCCACGACTGTAAATGTAGACCACCAAGCCCAACTCCAAGCTTTCATTTTCATTCATTACTTGGGTGGAATGTCTATATTTAGCTTCTTTGTGTGTTAAATGATCCCCCTCCCCCACTCTCCTCCCAACCATGTTTTCATGAGCTTCCGTTGTATATGAGGGGATGGGAATAACAGTTAAACGTGACACACCCTACGTCTGCTAAATACCAGGAAGCAAAATCAGTAAAGCTAGAATCAATGCTTTTTAATGATTTAAATATTATAAGTAGTGCAGTAAAGTCCTTGATTCCTTCTATCCTGCCTCTTTTGCTCCCTGGTATTCACTGTTTGATATATTCCTTTTCCAATCTTTTAAATATATAGTCATGGAAACTATGGAGTATTACATAAAAAGTGTCACATTCTGTGTTGTTCTGCAACCTTTTTTAAGAATGTGCCTTAGGACTCTGTTCATGTTGATAGATATTCATCTGGCTCATTCCATTCAATGGCTTCATAGTGTTCTACATTGTAAAACTACCTCTCTTGATTTAGCCATTCTCCCTGTGAATGTATATTTAGTTTGTCTCCAATTTTTTTAAGTGTCTTTACCACTGGCCATCAGAGAAACACAAATTAAAACAACACTGAGATACCATCTTTTTCCAGAAAGAATGACTATCATCAATAAATCAAATAAGAGCAAATGCTGGTGAGGTTATGAGGGAAAATGAAACCCTTCTGTATTATTGGTGGGAATGTAAACTAGTATGATCACTGTGGAAATCAGTACAGAGATTCCTAAAACACTAAACAAAGAAATTCCATTTGACACAGATATCTTCCCAAAAGAGATAGAGTACTCATATTGTGGTGATACATGCACATCCATGTTTATAGCAACGTGATTCTTAGTGGCTAAATCTTGGAAGTGGCCTGTGTCCTTCAACAGATGAATGGATAAAGAAAATGTAGTATTTATACACAACGCACCACTACTCTGCCATAAAGAAGGATACACCTGAGGCATTCATAGGTAAATGGATGCACTTTGAGATCATAACGTCAAGTGAAATAAATCAGACACACAACCTTAAATATTTCATGGTTTTTCTTATATGAGAACTCCAAAATGTAAATGAAGATTAAAATAAAAGATAAATAACAGGAAGTAGGGAAATATTTTTCAAGTGGGAAGGAGAACAAGAAATGGAGAGAAGAAGAGGGAAAGAAGGGAGAAGGGATAAAAAAGAGAACTGAAGAAAAATGGAAATAGAGCTTTTGCAAATGGGAAGGGGGACAAGAACTGGAGGATGCAGGGAGGGGTAGGAGGGGAAGGAGACAGGAAAAGAATGAAGATGTGCACGAACTCCCATGATAAATGCAGTCACTGTGCACTGCAAATGTGTACTAATACAAGCATTTTAAATATCTTTAACACTGAATGCTGTTGGACTTCTTGATGAAGCCAATGGCTCTTAAGCAAATGGAACTGAGACCTGGGAAAGGAGTGATCTATGCACAATTTTAAAAAATAAAATCCCTTGGGTTCAGATTTCTAATCCCATGGGCCCAGATGAAAATGAAGAGGACTCTTTAAAATACATTGAAGTACTCAAAAGTAAAAATCCAGCTATTTAATTAGAATCAAAACATTCCACTCTTTTTAGACCAGCATTCTCTTCCATATGGAACCAATTTTTTTGAAATACGCTCAAGAATATCTCTGGAGCATTATGTGGTACTTGAAACTTGAATCCTGAAAACACACCATAATTTAAAAATTAAAGTATGGAACTGGTTGAGGGGATTTAACATTCGAATTCCAGTGCGCCACAAACTTCAATCCCTGGGTTTAGCTGCATGTTCAGTGGGACGTGGGGACTCCTTTAGAGCTCCATTTCCCCTTCTACACAATGAGAGGGACGATTGCACTTGTCCCCGCACTTGAGGTGGGATTTTGCATTCTACCCTGACTCCAGTCTCAGTGATCTTCCTTGAACATCTTTTGTCTCTGTGCCTCAGTGCTGGATGTCCTCTTCCCCTGATTCTGCTTACAGAGGCCTTGTTACAATAGGCTGCACCCTCTTGGTTACTAACTCAACACTCTTTCTGTGCATTTAGTCTAGAAAATCTTCTGACAAGTTTGCAAGCATTTATTATCTGGCTTCCTTTACCAATAAGCAACTCCCATCAGAGCAAGGGTCTTGTTTATCTTACTTCTGTAGCCTCAATAGCTATTTGCCCGACAAAAACAGAAGATTAACAAATACCTATTATATGAGTGGTTTGGCAAATGAGTGATCTAGCTAGCAGCAACTAGCCCATTTGGTGATGGTCCCCAGACCTGGAGAGAAACTGTGACTTCCAGTTTCCTCCCAAGAACCTGTACTCACTTCTGCCCTCTCTGATTGTTGTTTTGTAGGGAATGACACCACTCCACTGGGCGGCTTTCCACAACCAGCCTCAGCACACCCAAATGCTGTTGAAGAAGGGAGCAGACCCTACCCTTGTGGATAAGGACTTCAAAACAGCTCTCCACTGGGCAGTCCAGGTGAGAGACTGGCCAGTGGGCCTGTCTGAAGTTTAAATGGTGTGAAGCAGTGTCAGTGATTGTCTGAACAGGTCAAACATGAAACATAGAATTCTTGCAAGTGCAAGTCCTGGTGTTGATAGAAAATTCCTGTGCATAATAGAGTTGGTAAGATTTCCTCTGCTCTTCTTCTCTCTTTCAAATACACAAGGGGCAACAGCCATCTGTCACTTTGGAGCCCCTATCTCCGTGTGTGTGTGCACATATGTTTGTGTCTCTCTCACACACACACGCATACACACACACACACACACACACACACACGTACTCCTCCCCATCTCAGTGCTTGCTACTGGCTTACAGTAAGCTTCAAAGGATCACTGGTAAATCCCTTCAAAATCTGTGGGCACCAATGCTCTGACTTTCTTCCATCCAAATCCTCCACAGTCGTGTCAATGCAAGTGATCTTAAAATCTACGCTGACAACAGGGACAGTGGCCTGTGTGCCTGCCTCGCCATCACAGAAGGGAGTTGCTATCAGTACACAAGACCAAGACATCAGAATAGGCCTGTAAAATCTAGACAGGGTCAAGAAAAGATAGACTTGAACATAAAGCGAAAGAATGGTGCTAGCTAACATGTACAGAAGCACTCTCTATTTTCAAGGGGAATGATTAACTACAGTAACGGGTAAACAAAGGAGTTATGCATTCCCTTCTTCAAGGACAGCAGGACTGAGCTTCCTTCCACCGACTCGCCTGCTCTGTCTGGATGCCCAAGCACAGGCAGCTCCGATGTTTATTTCCACTGGCCCAGAATGGGTCCCTTTGGGGGCTGCCATGGGCACCCTCACGAAAGGAGTTTCTGCTGCCCAACTGTGGTTTCAGTCTCCCTTGTCATGTGCCAGGCACAGCAGAAGTAGGCACCTGGGGCTTTCAGGATTGACCTGTGTGCCTGAGGGAAGGGGAAACAGAAGCGATTTGGAAACTGCTTTGTTTTTGTCCTTCTGCACTTGATTCCAGTCACTCTGCACCACAGCCGGCCCTGGGCAAAGCTGCACAGTGAGTGAAACCTGTTTTTGTCATTGCCACCTGTCCTGAGCACCGTCCTATGTACTTTCAGTATCTAATCCCCTGCCCTGCCCCACCTGCCAGTCTGTACCTATGGCCTACAGAGCACACCTTTGTCCAGCCAGGAGCCACCATGGTCACAGTGCTCCCACAGGAACCTGACCCAGACCCCAAGAAGCATCCCCTGTGTATTCGTTCTCAGCTAAGGTGAAAGTGGCACTGGAACTGGCCTCTTTTACATAGTTACTTTTCATACCCTTACAGTCTGACTGCCTAGATCTGGGATGTGCCCTTTGAAAAGTCTCCCCCCAGCTAACTCTGACTGATGTGCCTCTGCTGCTCCCTATTCCTCCACCTCGCCCCAGTTTAGAGCCTTAGACCTGGCATTGCAATGGAATCACCAGAAGTGTTGTAAAGTGGCAGGTGCCCAGACCCCACTACAGGCCTACTGAGTATGGCTCTCAAGGGATGGGACTGCTGTTCTTATTCTCTAAGAAGCAGTTTTGCTAAAGCAGAATAGCAACTTACTCACCTCAGAAGATCTGAGTGCGTGTTGGCAGATGTCAGTTTGATCTGAAGAGAATCACCAACACCTTTTTGCTCAGCTTAACTCTCCATGAGCCTTTGGGGTTTATGAATGAAACCATGCATATGACAGTGATTTAAAATGTGCTATGGAATTGCAAGAGATAATCATTTTATTAAGATTCCTGATTTCCTCCATGAAAACCTGTTTGTCATACCATGCTTTCATATTCAATCTTGCTACTAAATGATATAGCTTTTAACCTTCTAAGGTCATTAGAATTATCTGAAGAACTTTTAAGCAATACTGATGCTCAGGGCCCAACTCTTGGATTCTCATCGAGCTGTTCTGGAGCGGGAGTCCAGATGGGACTGCTGGTAAATCCCTTCAAAATCTGTGGGCACCAATGCTCTGACTTTCTTCCATCCAAATCCTCCGCAGTGGTGTCAATGCAAGTGATCTTAAAATCTACGCTGACAATAGGGACAGTGGCCTGTGTGCCTGCCTCGCCATCACAGAAGGGAGTTGCTATCAGTACACAAGACCAAAACATCAGAATAGGCCTGTAAAATCTAGACAGGGTCAAGAAAAGATAGACTTGAACATAAAGCGAAAGAATGGTGCTAGCTAACATGTACAGAAGCACTCTCTATTTTCAAGGGGAATGATTAACTACAGTAACGGGTAAACAAAGGAGTTTACCCGTTAAATTATTTTTTAAAGCTCCATCCCCCCCCCAGGAAATTATAATGTGTAACTATGATTGAAAGCCAAATATTTTTTAAAGCTCCGTCCCCCCCCCAGGAAATTATAATGTGTAACTATGATTGAAAGCCCTTATGACAAATGAATTCATATCAGTAAGTACCAATATCTTACCTATACCTACCTATGATATTTGCATTTTTGACCATGATTGTATAAGCATAATGCCTCAGTCATTTATTTGCTCCATCACTTCATAAATATTTCTTGAGCATGTAATATGTGTTGGTACCAGAGGTAAAATTATTAATAAGTTCCTTTTTGATCCCCCTGCTGGCGTAGGCAATATTATATATGTGAGTGTGTATGCTTGCATTCATTTTTCTGAGGAATGAGTCCACAGCTGCCTTCAATTACTCAGTGGGAATTGGGGACTACCCCCAAATGCTGAAGAATCATGACTCTGGAGGAACTATGCACCCTCTCCCTTCCTTGCAGTTAGCAGTAAAATTCAGAAATTCTATATTCGACCTTTTTACACTGAAAAGACTAAGGATTAATTCCAAATGTCAATTGAAATCATTATTATATTTGCCTTCTTTGTCCTTCTTGTTCATTTATAACACATGACCAGCATTGTACTCTTTGTAAAGTTTTTCCACATGAATGAACTTAATTCCCGTTGTCATTTATTCCTTTTGCTGAACTTCCTCCTTTTCTCTGAATCATACAATGAGATCCCACTTAAAGCTGTAGAGCTTTGAAATAAGTAAGTCTTTGTGTTTGACCCAGTTATCCAAAACAGTAAAGATTTAGAACAGCAGGCACAGAAATAAACTTAGTTCGATGTCTTCTCCCAGGTCTCAGATCTCTTGGGAGCTGGCAATCCCCTGCAATGGGTTCATCGCCTTCTTTCCCAATCCCCCAGATGTCCCAGAGATGCCACCACTTGGCTATATCTGAACTCACAGGGAGCAGAGTTATCTTCTCCACATGACGATCTCCCATGATGGCGTCCCAGCCTCTAAGGGGCCTGTTCTTGTCTACCTGTGAGGGCACCAGCTTTTCAGGAGTCTACACAGGTATCTCTCTACTTCAACTCCCTTTCACTCAGCTGGGCAGAAGTTTAGTCCTGCATTCCTTTCTTACTATTCTTCAGGGAGCTCATCAACTCCTATGGCTTCAACTGCCATCCAATTCAGTAGAATCTCAGATCAATAACTTCACTTCTAATGAAGTGAAGTTATTGAATGAGACCTACATTTCCAGATCTGTTGAGCATCTCTCCACATTTTCTCACTCACACTTTAAATTCAACAAGGTCAGACTGAATCTATGGCCTTACCTTCTCATCATATCTCCATCCTCCCAGGAAACCAAGCCAAGTACTTCAGAATAGGCTATCCCTTCCTTATCATTCTTCACATCCAGTAGGTTATCAAGACCCCTCAGTTCTACTTCCTCTGTTTCTCTCATCTCTCTCCCTTCCTGTCTATCCCCACTGCTCAGTCAAGGACCCAGCAGGAAAGAGACACCATACTCAGATGGAAATAACTGAAGAAAGAGTCATGAAGAGACTATCTACACACAACCCAGGCATAGCAAGAGCAGATTGCCATTAGGATGTATGGGCCTAAAAAGGCACCAAAAGGCGCAGCTGGTTACTTTTAGTCTGTTTTGTGCTGCCATAACAGAATGCCAGAGACTGGATAATTTATAAAGAGAAGAGATTTTATTTCTTTTAGTTCTGGGGTCCAGAAGTCCAAGGTGGAGAGGGACCTGCTTCCAGTGAGGGCCTTCATGCTATATCACCCATGAAAGAAGGCCAAGAAAGCACATGCAAGAGGAAAGGGGACTGGACTCATCCTTCTTGAGGATGTCACTCCCATCATAATAAAACCACTCCCAAGATAAAGGGCATTAATCCATTTATGAAGGCAAACCCTTCATGGCCTAATCACCAATTAAAAGTTCTACCTCTTAACATGGTGGCACTGGGGATTATGTTTCCAGTACCTACACTGTGAGGGACACATTCAAGCCATAGCACAAAGATCAGCAAATCTGTAGCTATAGAGTACACCAGGGACAGAAACTGCAGCCTTTGGTGGAATAACCCTGTTTTAAGATCTGGAGATTGAACCCAGGGCTTAGCACATGTTAGGCAAGTACTCTACCACTAAGCTATATTCCCAATCCTTTTTAAAATTTTTATTTTGCAAAAGGGTCTCACAAAGTTGCCCAGCCTGTGCTCAAACTCAATCCTCTTGCTTTAGGTTTCCCAAAAGCTGGGATTACAGCTCTATAGTACCACAGTGAGCTGCGTATTTGTTCGTGGTTTTTTACACCGTTTGGATTTTGACAAATGTGTAATGATATGCACCCAATATTATAGTATCATATGGTGTAGTTTCACTGTCTTAAATATCCTCTGTGTTCACCTTACTCTTCCTACCCTCCCTCCCAGGCCCTGGTAACCACTGATATTTTTATTTTTTCTATAGTTTTCCCTTTTTCAGAATGCTATATAGCTGAAATCATAAAGTAAGCAAACTTTTCAAATTCAGCCAGGCGTAGTGGTGCATGCCTGTAATCCCAGCACTCAGGAGGCTGAGGCAGGAGGATCATTGCAAGTTTGAGACCATCGTGGGCTGCAAAGTGAGCTCAAGGTCAGCCTGAACTGTATAGCAAGACCATGTGTCTAAAACACCAAAAAAAAA